AACATGCAAGCAGTTGGTGCACATGATACAAAATGATCAGAAGTTGGGATTTCATAGACAATAATATTCTTGCAAGTGAAACAAAAGGAAGAAGAAAGCCGTTATTACATGTTGAGCTTTCGTTCTCCTTTCTTCGGACCATCACGTGGAATTTCAAAATTATTATATGACAAGTCCCTGCAACATTATTGTTCACATATCAAGATTTTAGTGAGGAAATCTACAAAAGGGAAAGCAACCCATCTGAGAAAAGAGCACGAAGCCATAAAATATGCCTTGTCTTCGATGGTATCAGGAAACCAGGAAGGTACTGAGCCATTAAGCATATTTCTTGTGAGAAACCTAAACAAAACAAACCACTATGAAAACCATCCCATGTACTTTTTAACAGAGTGGCAGAACGAGCTTATTATATAAGACATCGAGTTCAAGGAATCTCTTTTGCATACATCTTACTTAAATTCAGCTTTTTCATGGAATCTGGTATTCCACCAGTTAAGTTGTTAAAGCTCAAGTCTCTGCAGGATCAATAAAATGAAAGCAAACGTTAGCTTTTTCATATTTGATATATAGTTGTGCTATGGTCAATTATTGCATAGTTGATGCTGTAAACACATAGTCAAAATCATCAACACTTCTATGCATGGCCTAAAGGCCCTAAACAATGAGCATCTATAGAGCTTATGAAACAAAATAGCCATGACAGAACTACAAATCGTTTACAAAAGAGGAGATGAAACTTACAGGTATGTTAACGATGACCAATCACCAATGTACGGGGGGATTTCACCACTTATTGAGCAATTCCTTATCATCCTACACAAACCATTGAAGAAGTTGGTGTTTGGATTTATCCAATGCATCCATATCATTAAGAGTCAAATACATAAATATTGTGACTTCACGATTCTGTTATGCCTATAGTCGTAATTAATATATATATATATATATATATTAAAAAACAAATTCCAAACCTGAATCGCATATACAACTAGTCTTCACTGCATGTAATAGCTCATAAAAAAAACTCAAGATCATATAAAGAAAAATAGGCCTAAAAAAATATTTATGTAAAAGACCGGTTATAATCCAAATTCTACAACTATAACGCTACTAGACAAATATAATTCTAAGTGTGTATGGTTTTTATTATTCAATGTGAAATTAATCGTTAGACCACAATTTGAATTCATGCCATAGCTCATTGGCTCACTCATCCGTTGACCGATTAGGTGGTAAGGATGCAAATTAAGTACTAAGGAAGTTTCGGGCGTTCTTCTTTTCTTTTCTTTTTTCCTTTTAATTACAAATCTCAAGTTAGTTATGCATGTGAGCTTTTGCCCTTAGTGTGAGCTTTAAAGAAAAGCAAAGGAAGGAAAAACTCACAGGTATCTTATTCCCTTCATGCTTGCATTTTTTGGGAAAGGAGAACCGGAGCTATTTACATCACTAACAAACCTGGAAGAAAAACAATCCATAATAAAACATGCATTTATTTCAACCCGGTGAAAATTATAGAACACTTACAAGTATCTGAGATATTGCAAGTTAAAAATACTTTCAAGAGGAAACTCTCCTTCAAAATCATTTCCGGAGAGGGACCTGTGATCAGTACACAAAAACACAAATTATTTAATGATATTCATCGATCATCGACAGTTTCTCAATCAAATGATAGACATTCAGCATTGAGAAATCAGCTCAATCAACTAATAGTGCTTACATTCAAATGTGTATAATTACAGAAAGTACAAGTAATTTCTTACAGCCTATTGAGTTCAGTCCAATTCGCAATGAAACTTGGTACTTGACCGGTCAAACGGTTCCCAGCTACGCGACTGCAGCCATAGTTAGTTGCTTTTCCTTGCAACAATAATTAATCAGATTGTTGGTTGAAAGAATATGATGAGTTGCACTTACAACCACTGCAATCCCGTAAAGTTGGCATAATTTCCAGGCAGTTCTCCGCTCAAATTGTTGGAGCTCAACCCTCTACAACAACAAATCAAAAGGATTGTAATCCACCCCTTTTCTGTTTTATTTCTCCTATTACAATCTTCCTTAGTTTTACAAGGTGGTATGACATTATTATTCTTCTTTTTGAAACTTACAGATAACCAAGAGATCCCAATCTTCCAAGTTCTGGTGGAAGCTGACCAGTGAGTTCATTGAATTCCAAGTACCTAATTAAATAAGAGATAAGAACCAAACCAAACTTAATAAGTTAAAACGAAATTCAAGGAGAGTGAAAGAGCGAGCGAGCGAGTTTCTGTACATATATAGGAGATGAGAGAGGTTGCCCAATTCTTTAGGGATTTAACCTAATAACATATTATTCGACAAACTCCTGAAAACACCCACAAGAATAAGAGCACAAAATTTGCATCAGCAATGGAAAAGGAATTTAATTGACATTATATGATACTGAAGAGATTGTGATTGGATGACACGTACAGATATTTGAGGGACGATAAATTCTCCAAAGATGGAGGAATGGACCCACTGAGGGAGTTTCTCGAGAGACGGCTATGCATATATATATATATATATATATATATATATTAGATGAATTTCACAACAATTATATGAATTTCACAAGGCAATGCATTAGGTGAAAATTAAGATAAAACTTGAGAACCGAAAGAGCAGGATGAAAATTGGATGATGGCAGTATTACCAAACAACGCATGGTGAAGGGAGCCTTTATGCATGTAGTCATATACTAGCAGATGCAGGTCTTTATTTGAATAGCCATCCAACAATTGAACAAGATTCTCATGATGCAATGATTTCAGGTTGAAGATTTCCCTTTGTAATTCATCTTTTCCACATGAAAGCCACCAGAAGTAGAGGAGGAAATACTGAACCTGAAGTAATCCCTGCAATTTGTGAAGGAGATGGTCCCGTGCCAACTTTCAAATCTGGATACAAATAGTGGAAGACAGAAAGAAAAAATTATTTATCCAGATAAAGGGCAGCAGAAATATTTGCTCAACAAATTAAGAGAATGCAACTCTTTACTTGCAGTTACGGAAATGCCTGACACAAGGGGTCCATTCAGAGACAGGGCAGCAGTACTTAAATAGGAAAGACCTGGCACCTGGAAAGTGTTATGTGTGTGGACACAAATGGCCGGTGGCAGCCTTGGTTGATATGGTTATAGTCAAATGGTGGGTGCCTAACTTGCCCACCATTGTTGAACAATTATCTCCCTCCTCAACTATAAATAGAGGGTGCATTGATAGCTGAGATAGACCACGAAATAGAGAGAAACACAGAGAAAGCTAAGGGTGAGAGTTGAGTT